GGGCCTCCTTTCAAGTAACATAGGATCTGTTCCAAAGCTTCCCAATGTTTGACCGTAGGTGCACTCATGAACTAGCTAACAACACTTATCGAAAAAGCAATATCCGGATGAGTCACAATAAGGTAGTTTAACTTCCCAACCAACCTTCTATATCTCTCTGGATCATCAAAAGGATCACCATCATCTTTCATAAGGTGCACATTGGGAACCATTGGAGTACTACTGGGTTTGGCTGCTAACTTTTCGGTATCTGCAAGCAGGTCAAAAATATACTTTCTCTAAGATAGAAAAATTCCCTTGTTGTTTCTGTTTACTTCTACTCCCAAAAAATATTTCAACGGACCCAAGTCCTTTGTATGAAACCTAGTATGCAAGAAAGTTTTAAGGGAAGAGATTCCCACATAATCACTTTCAGTGATGATAATGTCATTAACATATACAACAAGGAGGATAGTCCCAGATATTGATTGCCAGTAAAAGACTGAGTGATCACATTTGCTCATTTTCATCCTAAAATTCTGAACTACCTCACTAATTAACATGCCAAACAAGGACTCTGTTTCAATCCATACAAGGACTTCTTCAAATGACAGACTTTTCCATACCCCCCTGAGCAATAAAACCAGGTGGTTGCTCCATATACACTTCTTGAATATCACCATGAGGGAATGCATTCTTGATATCTAACTGATGTAAAGGCCAATTCTCAGAAGAAAATATAGAAATGAACAAACAGACAGATGTGAGTTTGGAAACCGGGGAGAATGTGTCTTAAATAATCTACCCCATATGTTTGAGCAGAGAAAATGATCAAAATAGTCCTTAATGTATGGACTTAGATTGATTTGGTCCTTTATATATGCAGCTTATGGAAAAGATCATTTATGTATGTTAAAAGCTTATCAATTTAGTCATTCACCCTAAAATCTAACCAACTCTGTCAAATTAAACAATGATGTGCAACTCATGTGACATACAAAAACTTTATACAAAACCTCCGTCATCAGTTCCAAAGGGTGATTGCGGCACTGCAAAACGCCTCATTTGAGAAGAGAGATATGGCAAGAGATAGTTGTCTGTTGGTGTTGTTGTTGGCGGTGCAGTTGGTGGCGTTGTTGGTGCTGGAACTTATGAGGCTATAAGTTTCAAGGTGTCTAGACTCTTGAAAATCAGATATATTGGACAAACTACTTTGAGAAGAGCAACAATTTTTGGTTTCTTCTTAGGTGCTGGAAGCTTGATACATTGTGGAAAGTTTTACTAAGCATATATTTTGCTAGTCGTGTGGAATTGAATTGAATTGTTGCTATCTAAATAATGTGCGTCTGCAATTCCAATATATTTGAGTTTAGTAATGATAATTGGTAATTCAAAAAAAAAATGTTTCAAAGGGTGAAAACTCTAGTCTTTCCAACAAAAAATCCTTTTTCTTGTAAAATCAATTGACACAAGTTTTTCCATTATTGAACGATGTTAATCCAAAAGAAACTCCATGGAATCGAGCCTATGTTATGGTAAGAATCTATCTTGCTTTTAGTCGAGACATTGCTATCATTGGAATGTTGTGACAGAAATTGGAGTATTACTATCTCTTGAATGATCAATACAAGAGGATGTGAAGTTAAGGCAAGAGTAGAAGTACACTTGGCTAAGCAACTACATGATATTGTTTAATTTCACAAATTTTTCCTTGTGTCGTTAGGTTTTTAGGGTGAAAGACTAAAATTGATAAGCTTTTAGCATACATAAAGGACCTTTTCCATAAGCTGCATATATGAGGGATCAAATCAATTTAAGTCCATACATTAAGGACTATTTTGATCATTATCTTTGTTTGAGCATACCCTTTAGCTACAAGTCTGGCTTTAAGTCTCGCTATAGATCCATCTGGGTTAACTTTAACTGTGAAGACCCATTTACATCCCACCGATTTCTTTCCCTTGGGTAAATCCACTAAATCACAAGTGTGGTTTTCCTCTAAGGCATGTATTTCATCAAGCATTGCATCAGACCACCCATGATGATTCAAGGCCTCTTTCATTGTTTTGGGTACATAAACAGAGTTTAGAGAAGCAATCAAAGATCTATACATAGAGGATAAGTGGCCATATGAAACAAAATTTCTAATGGAATATGAGGATTTGCAACTACGTGTACCTTTGTGAAGAGCAATTGGGAGGTCAAGATCTTGTGGAGGATCGGAAGAATGAGGATCTGATGACAAAGGAACTGGTGCAGGACATATATCATTAGCCTCTCGCCTCCTTGAGTAAACTTGAACAATTAGCGGTCTTGCCACATCAGACGGAGAAAGAGCTTCTGAAACAATAGTCGATTGATCCTCAATAGAAGAACTGAGAGATGGAGGGACAACATCTGATTCTTTCACGGGTGACCTGATAGATTAGCCACTCATCTTCCTCCCCCTGACTTGTAGAAATTGGAGGTGCATACAAGAATGGTGTAGTCTCTGAAAATACCACATCGGTTGACACCAAATATTTGCCAAGTTCGACAGAATAAAACTGATACCCACCCCTTTTGGAGGCGAGAATAGCCCAGAAACACACACTTCAATGCCTTAGGATCCAACTTGGTAACAGATAGTCGAACATCTCGAACATAGCATGTGCTTCCAAATATCTTAGGTTCAATCAGAAATAGAGACTTGTTTGAAAACATAACATTGTAGGGCACATTACCAACAAGCACAATAGATGGCATGCGATTAATCAGAAAACAAATTGTAGAGACTGCATCTACCCAAAATTATTTAGGAACCTTCATTTGGAACAAAAGTGCTCGAGCCGTCTTAAGTAAGTGTCTATTCTTCCTCTCAACAACTCCATTTTTAGAAGGTGTATCGACACATGAAGACTGATGGAGAATACCATGTGTCTCATATATGACTGAAATAATTCCGACATACATTTTTTAGCATTGTCACTCCTCAGAATACGTACTGAAGCTAACTTCAACACAGAAGGCACAAAAGTGAGTAAATACTTCCGAGCGACTCTTCATAAAATAAATTCAAGTCATCCGAGAATAATCATCCACAAAAGTAACAAAGTACTTATGCCTAGTTTTGGAAACAACAGGACACGTTCCCCAAACATCAGAATGAACTAACTCAAAAGGTGACTCAACTCACTTACTAACCCTTGGACTTAATGAGTTGCAATAATGTTTTCCAAATCGACATGACTCACATTCTAATGAAGAAATATTCTGGAATTGAGGACACAACTTCTTTAATAGAGGTAGAGAAGGATGTCCCGATCGACAATGTGCTTCAAATGGAGACACAACACTAGAGCAGGCAACAAACCAAGGCTCCCATTCATCAAAGATGTATAGATCGTCAGATACATGTCCTTTACCAATAACCTGATTCGTCTTAAGATCACGAAACAAATAATGATCGGGAAAGAACAAAATATAACAATTAAGGTCTCTGGTAACTTTGCTAACAGAAATCAAATTAAAGGCCAATTTTGGTAGGCTTAATACAGATGACAGAGTAATAAAAGAGGTTGGTTTAACCGTCCCATATCCAACACTGTTACAAGTTGATCCATCAGCTACGGTAACCAGAGAGGGTTATTTGTGTGCTTGAAAGAAAGAAAAAATATTAGTATTATCTGTCATGTGATTTGTGGCACCTGAAACAATCACCTATTTATTTGAAGAGGTGATAAGACATGTTTTATTTGATTCAACAAAGGAATTAACTGAAGTGGATTCCTTCGAGATTTTCTGGTATTGAGAGAATTTAGCAAACTCCTCCTCTGAAATTAGGACCATTTTGTCAGATAATGGACTACAAGCACCAACAACTTTAGACCTTTCAATTCTCTCATTATAGTCGGTCATTTTCCCAACAAGTCTAACCAGATTATATCATAAAATCAGACAATACCCAAGATAGACAATAACCTATTTTGAAACTATAAACAAAGTAATTGTTCTTCCCTACACCAATTCCACTCAAGACTAGCTATCCAACTAATCAAAGACCTAAAAATAACTCCTGATAAATCAGAAAATCATCAAATAAAGATCCAAGTGAAAGTGTTGATTGAAGAGCAAAACTTGATGATGCTACAACAAAATCCCAATGCTAAAAATTGTAAGACACGAGTGAAATTGTAACGTCAAATATTAGCAGAAATTGCTAGAAAAAAGATGTTAACATACTACCAGATGCTGCCCGACACAGAGAGACCACTAGATTATTGGCCAGAATTGGGAAAATCTCTCAAATCGTTGTCTACTGAACAAACAACCACCAAATCCTTGCAGGAAATGTCACTGCAACATTGGAACAACAAGCAAATTGAATTTCTGATGCTGCACCACTACTGCAGTCTCACTGGAAAGAGTACTGATGGAACGTGAGGCTCACACGAGTAACTTCTAGCCATCGAGATCTAGGGATTTAAGATCGTGGGAAGTATCTTCTTCTGAAGTGGGTGGTGAAAGAAATTTTAGAACTCTCAATCACTTCCGGTGAACTATAGTTGATTCCGGCGAGGTCACAGTGACTTCCGGCGAAGAGAAAATACCAACTCAGACATTGGCTCTGATACCATGTAATTCATAACCTATTGAGAATAACTTGTATATTACTCAAAGAGAACAATGGTATAAATACATGGAGAGAATAAGCTAACTATGGTAACTAAATATTCTAATCCCTAAGAATCAGCTCTATTATCTATCAATATTATTATACAAATTTATGTAACATATATAAAAATTCTTATTGTAGATTCTCTTGGGGGGGAGGGGGGGATTGAAAGATCACGCTAAAGTATCATCCGTCAGAGGATTGGATTAGATTCGACCAAATTTTTTTGTCATATATTTCTCATTTTCAACTTTCATATATCATTAAAACTACATATATATCAAGAAATGAGTTGCTCCATACAATCCTGAATAAACACACTTAAATACTTTAGCAAAATTGAAAGTTTAATGTAATAGGCATAGTATCAAATAGCATACAAGAGTAGCCGGTCCAATTCCACCAAGTGCCAACTACTGACAAACCGGAGCCTAATCTTTTTCAGTGTTGAAAGAGCATTTTCGATACTAATTCTTGCATCGGGTGTCACGAAAGTGCAGCTCAAAGCTAATTCCATGATAGACAACAAGCACTGCATCTTTGCATCAACTTTCTCATCCCGTGGCTGTACCAGATTAGAATCCACCACCTTACGAATTTCACCTGGAAAAGAATCACTAACCCAACGTTGTATGGTCAAGTCTCCGATAAATATTTCATCACCTGGTCTTGTTCTTGTAAACATCTCCATCGTCAGGATGCCAAAATTATAAACATCACAACTTGTGGATACAATTCCATTTTGTCCATACTCTGAAATAATAGTGAAAAAGATTATAAAAGTTTCCTAGTTAAAATGGAATATGCAAAAAACATAGAAAATCCATTTATATGTAGGGGGAAGAATTGTTTTGAGTATTTAAACGATATGAGAAAACTTTGAAAAGTTGTACTATACCTGGAGCAATATATCCAATGGTTGCAATTGTTGTTGTTTAAACAAAAGCCTCCCCTGCACCTAACAATTTTGAAATGCCAAAATCACTGACATGACCAGCCATTTCTTGATCTAGCAAGACATTGCTTGGCTTCAAGTCACATTAATGCACCACAGCTGTTGAATGACCTTTGTTGAGATAGTCCATTGCAGATGCAACATCTATCACTATATCTAATCTCTACAGTAAGTTCAAGAATAAGTTATGAGAATATAACCATTTATCAAGTGTCCCATTAGGCATGTATTCCAACACTAGGGCTTTGAAATCAAGGTTGGAGCAGCTGGTGATGACTTTGGTCAAATTTTTGTGGCGAAGGTTTTGGAGTATCTCATATTCTATGTCAAAACTTCTGAATGCACGTCCAATTGCACATTGAATACCTTTGCTGCAAAAAGGGTACCATATTTAAGTATCCCTTTGTAGACCTTGCTGAAACTCCCATTACCAAGCAAGTTGGTTTCGTTGAATCCTTTTGTTGCCTGTTCAATTTTATAATAGGAAATTCTTTCATGCTCTTTTAACGGAGACACATTTGTTTGACCTGTATTCTTTTTTGTTTTTAGCAATCTTACAAATACACATGCAAGGGCTAATACAAGAAGTAACAGACCCACTCCCAAACTGGTGTACAAAACTAAGTTAGCCTTTTTCCTCTTGGATGACACATGTTGTCACATTAAACTTGGCATCACCACATAGTGCATCATTAGACAAGAAGGATTGACCTGTGGCATTTGAAAAAGGACCACCAATGGGAATCTCTCCAATTACTTTATTGAATGAAAAGTTCAAGTATTTGAGAGACACTAGAGTTTTTAATGACTTTGGAATTTCACCAACAAGATTATTATAGCACAAATCTAAGAATTCCAATGCCAACATTTTGCCAAATGAATCTGGAATAGGCCCATCTAGTCTATTATGTTCCAGAGAATGATACATCAATTTATCTATACCCCCTAGAGTGCTAGGAATCATTTTTTGACAAATCAATGATTGTTGCCACCTGTAAATTTCCAATTTCAAATTAATAAATTGGATGAAACATTAAATTCTAAAAGATCTTTAAGGCTCCCCAAGCTTTCTGGTAATCTAGAATCCAGCCTGTTGTAATCTAGATGAAGTATCCTCAAACTGGTAAATTTTCCTAAGCATGGTGGCACGGAACTAGAAAATTTATTTCGTGACAAGTCCAATGCACCAAGATTCTGTAAACTGCACATATATATCATCTGGTATGGGTCCTTCTATCTTGTTTCTATCTAGATAAAGTTCTTGAAGGCTCTACATGCCTTGGATGGTATTTGGAATACATCCGGTGAACTCATTGTTAGATAGACTCATCTTTGTCAAACCAGTAAGGTTACCAATTTCTTCGGAAATCATGCCCTTAAGTTTACAACCATCAAGGAGTTGGAGAAATTACCAACAAATGCTGGAAAAATGGCATCCAACAGATTATTATAGAACCCGAGATTTTTTCAATGATGCAAGGATGCTTAATGTTGAATCGCTGATAAAACTACTGTCTCCCAAGTTTAGAGCCTCAAGGTATTCTAAATTACCTAGTGCTTTAGGAATTGGACTTGTGAAATTGTTGAGGGAGAGATCAACCATTTTGAGTCTCGAAGAATTTGAGATTGAATATGTTGGGTTTTAGCAAGGTGTGAATGGAAATAAGAAGAGAAAATGGAAAATGTGGGGGAACCAATTTTGGAGGGAAAATGAAAAGTCATTGCAAATTGCAAATGAAAAGTCATTTCTCTCATATTGGTAGAAGAAAGGAAAATTGTTGTCCTTATATTAGGAAACACTTCCTTTAGTTCTTAAAGGGTTAAGAAGAAGGTGCCCCTCGCGCCGTTGTCGCTGGCTCGCTCGCTCAGCTTTGTCTTTGGATTTGGCAATTGATTGATAATATTTTTGGACAAAATTTATTTAATCAATCTCATTAATTGATTTCCTTTCTCTTATAAATTAATTCAGAATGTTAGTTAATTAACAGAATTAATTTCGCGTAACAAAATTTAATTGAAATTTGCATGTAACGGTAAAAACGTTCTGAAGGGACTTGCTCCTTCCGAAAAGGCGTTACTCTTCCCAAAAAGACACAACGTTCTGGAAAGATACCATTGTCCGAACAGACGCGTTCCTTGCTGCAAATGGCTATAAATAAGAAGTTTTTTCCATTTTTCATTTACTGAAAATTTTTCCTCTCTGCCTACATTTTCTTACATAAACAAATTGTCGATCAATTGAGTCTGTGTGTGCTCTCGTTACTGTTCTTGCGTTCGCTAAAATTATTGAAGTTTTAGGTACCGCTACTTCTCTAATAGGTTAATCTGTTTTATCTTGGGAGGAATTAATCTGCAACCTCGGGTACTTGAGGGGATTAAATTTCTTAAGGAAACACAGTGGGTTCTGTGGACTTAGATTATTATTTCTGTTTGTTTCATCTATTTTCTGTTTCTATTTTGGGTAACCTTAATACAGGAGATAACAGAATCAGAGATAAAACCACTCAGATTAATTCCTCCACAGTAAAATTGTTCTCATTCCACGACCTAAATCAGAAGGTAGAGTACCTGAAAGCTTGTTTAGTGAAAGTACTAGGACCTGCACTACTGATATGTTGAAAATGCTTGCAGGGACCGAACCAGTAAACTCATTCTCGGTTAATCCCAGCTTCTGTAGTTTCTTAAGATTACCTAGCTCCACAGGTATCTTTCCTGTCAATTGTTTGAAATATATATATGAGTTACCAGTTTGGCTGAAGAGAGAAAGGATGAAATTTTTAGATATCTTGTAAGGAAATATCATATATACTACCTTCCAAGAGTTGTTGTCCAAAAAATAATGTTACAAGAGCCGTTAAGTTTTCTAGCTCTCTTGGTACAGTTCCAGTAAATTCATTGAACGACAATGACAATCTTTGAAGCTTTCTGCATTTTTCAAGGTTTGGTGGAACAACTCCATCTAAGGAGTTGCTTGAGTGTTGAAGCCCTTCCAAGTTTGGAAGATGGTCACATATAGTTGTTGGTAAGAGCAATCACTCGCATTGTCATAATGTTAAATATTGATGGTGGTCTAGGGCCAGTAAGCTGATTGAATTGCAGGTCTAGGACAGTCAAGTAACGAAGATCACCAAGGGATCTCTCCTACGAGAAAATTGGTTGCTCCAGAGGGATACATGTACAGTGTGTAGGTTTGGTAACAAACTCAAAAATGATGGAATGGCTCCGGTGAAGTTATTCCTTCTAACATTAATCAATTTCAACCTCTTCAAATGAGCCAACGTAACTCTGCTGGCAAATCTCCATACTGACCCTGAGGGAAACAAGAAATGAGAGGTTATGTGTGGAGGAATGGTACCATGAGGTTGCATGCTAGAAATGTTTAAAGCAGTGACTCGATGGTGGCGGGAGCTGCAAGTGATTCCAATCTAACTAAGATGTTGTTAGGATGAGAAGAAATGTGTGATTTCAGTGCAAAAAGAGCAGCTTCATCAGTAGCAAGTGAAGTTTGGTTATGAAGCAGAATGAAAACTGCAAGACCAAAGAGGACAATGCAACGTCTGCCCATAACTATGTCAAGAAGGTTTCTTTTAATTATATACCTCGTTGAGCTAAAACAAGAATTGATAATGCAAACCAATGATGTTTAGAAGACCTATTTAATTCTATCAAATTCATTTTATATACCTTACTATGGAGTGCTTTTTGGTTTAGACTTGAGAATGTGAACTTTTAGAACAACAAATTGTATGTGAAAACTGAAAAGTGCTCAATAGTCAAATATCCTGTAGCAGCATGCACTCAAGGCACTCAAAGTTTCATATTTTTCTTTTGTGGGACTTGAGGGGACAATTTTCTCTGTCACAGTGTTCATACCACACTCCAAATTCTCATTTAGAGTTTATATACCTCTCATTATAAAAATAACTCATATATATCCATATTGTTACACAAATAACTCACATATATCCTTTTCCTCTAGCGAAGTAAAAAATCAATTTTAAATTTATTTTTTAAAAAATATATTCATGTAAAAGTATATTTGATACTTCTCACACATATTTTTTTTGGTTTTTTTTTTATTTAGCGGCTAATTTGAATCTATCATTTTGATGGTAAAATTTATTTTTCACTAAGTTTCTTATAAAATTTATCATATATAACCCCAAATATTTTTTACAAATATAAAAAATAAAATACAATATATCCAAAAAACTAATTAATTTTAAATATTTTTCTTACTTTTTTCTCTTTTTTTCATGCACATTTTTTTCCTCATATTTCTCCACTAAAGAATGAAATAAAAGAAGAATAAAAAACTGAAATAATGATAATTAAAAATATAAAAAAAATGTGTGTAAAAAGGATCATTTATACCCCTACATAATTTTTTTAAAATAAAAAAATACATTTAAAATTATATTTTAATTCCATTAGATTAAAGGCTATATATGAGCCACTTTTGTAGCGGTAGGGGTATACATTAGCTATTCGTGTAACAGTAAGGGTATATGTGACCCACTAGTGTAAAAGGTAGGGGAATATGTGAGCCACTTTTGTAACAAGTGGTATATCACCTCTAAATACCAAAGTGAGGGGTATATCATGCCCTTTTCCATATTACAAATATGGATACTAATAAAATCTATATATATATATATATATATATATATATATATATATATATAAAGAAACATAGACATGATGATGTGGCATCTCTCTAAGGTTTCCGTTTGCATTTATCTTTTTTCTCCTTTTTTGGCCTTTTTTCTTATTTAAATTAATTATTGTATTGTAAGTAAATTACTTAATTTATTACAAGTAAATATTTTATTAATGGAGGAACATTTACAACAAAAACTCTTCACATTTTTTTTTTATTTGTTTGCCTCAATTCTAAACATAAAATGAAATTATTATTTTATATTTTAAGTATTTTTCTCTTTATTATTTAATTTATTCACAAGGATTTATTACCCATGACTTACACCTCTTTAATTTTTACTTTTAATAATATTCATAACTCCCATAATTTTTATGTCCATAATCTCCAAACTTAAATTTATAAGTTTATAATGTCTTATGGTATTCCTTTATTTTTCATATAAATTCATATTTAGTTTCATGTAGATTCACATTCAAAATTATACTTTCTCTTCTTCATCATATTGGTTTGTGAATGAACTAACAAGTAAACAAAAAAAAAGTACATGAAGGTGAGAAATATTTCATTTTATTCTCAAGTTTTATTTTTTCATTTTCTCTATTTTGCCTATATAAATTTATATTTAGTTTCGTGAAGATTCACATTCAACATTATCATTTCTCTTCTTTATCATATTTTTGTGAATTAACTAACATGTAGCAAAAAAGAAGTACATGAAGGTAAAATATATTTCATTTATTTTTATTTACTTGGACATATTTTCTTAATATTTTATTTATGTATGTATTATCATTCACTAAGCAAGTATGATAAAAAAAATACCTTATTAATAATAAATAATGTGTTGTCAGTATGCAATTGTTCTTTGCAATAGTCAGTTTTTGGGATATAATGTAATTTGATTATAATATTTTTAGATTTCAAGAGATGATTAGTATTTAGTATTGTTAGTACTATTGAAAAAAATATATAGATATATTACATATAGTTCAAATTTCTTCTTTCTTTTAATATAATTATTTTTTAATTGGTATATGATATTTATTTATTCAATTGATATCATATGATGAAGAATTTGACAAATGGAGCAAAATATGATGGCGGATCTACTTGCAAAGGAAGATGATAGGAGGCGGGGGGGGGGGGGGGAAGCATAATTAGAGATTATTTTTGCTAAAACATTTTTTTACTTTGACTTGTATTAGTTACTTAGTTAATTTTGCTAAAAAAAAATAACTTTGATTTGTATAAAAAATTTAGCTACATGTATTGTCAATGACTCAAGGCTTATCATTTGGTCCTTTAGTATTTTTTTTTTTATGAAGCACAATTAATATAATTATCTCATTTCAACAACAAAAAAAGTATGATGATTAGGAATTTCATTTCTATTACACTTGCAAAGAGTAATTAAAAAATAAAATATTAATTTCACGATGCCATTTATTATGTATGTAACAATCTATTTTCATCGCTATTCTTTTTTGTTTGAAATGCATTTATAATAGTTATATAGTCACCGATTATTATAATTTTTTGTTCATTGTTTGTATTTTCACCCCTTATTTTCATTTATTTATTTTATAAATAAAATCAATGCATAATTATTAAATATTATTCATAACTTTTGTATGTTTCATTTTTCATAATTCTTATAAATATTTAATTATTTTAAAAAAATTTATAATAAATAAATGTAATAATAAAGACACAATAAAACAATTCAAATTATTTTTTACAAAATTAGAATTTGTATATAAAATTAATACTCCTACAAAAGATAGAGGAAATTAAAACATACAAAATATTTTCAACATAATACAATATATTGTTATTTCAAAATATTACCTCTTATTCCATTTACTTCACCACGGTGAATATTTTGTTCTACTATATACATATGAATAGTTTGCACTTAAAAAGATGCAAAAAATAATAATTATTTGATATGTTTGTAAATGATGAAAAAACGTATCATATCGCAGATGAAGATAAATATCAATATTATCTTATATATTCGACAATAACCTAAATATAAATTTTACATATTATTATCTTATAAATATTTCATATAGCCGCACGAAGCGCAAACAATTTCACTAATGGTAAAATAAAAGAAGAAACAAAGTTGAGTGGAGCCCCTTCTTCTTTGTACTTGTGACAAATTCAAAAATGTGTTTCCCCGTACCAATTTGATTCTTCTCCTTATCTCATTCCTCAAACTTGTCCAGAATTTCTTGAAAATACATTAATTATTCTTAGATTTGTTGGATCTTGTTGATGTAGTTGAACCTTGTCACCTTTAGCTTTGCCACTCTCATTGGTAGTTGCAACTGGACAAACTCTTATAACACTTTATCATTCTAACTATGATGTCTACCATGAGTTTTTTAAAATTATTTTTGTGTTTTCCACCTCTCTGTTGCCTAGGAAATTGTTGTAATAAAGGTGTTGAGGTCTTTAACCAACAATTTTTAGCACGTGGTTGTTGTTATTAAAGAACCCAAGGATTTCTCTAATTATTTATTGATGAATTAATGAGTTCTTTGTTAGCTCATGAAGATAGCCACACGAGCTTGATGGACTCATCTTTCTCCAAAGAAATATCCTCAAAATTTTCTGGCGGAGGTAGAAGAAAGAGGCAGATTTTGTGGCTGCAATACAAGCAAAAGTCAATTCAATGAAATACATCAGCCTAAGAGTTATTAGCGCATCTTCCATATAATAAGGCATAGCCGATTGTCAGTTAGTTATTTACTGCTTATAGGTTTAGTACGACACATTTATTATTAACAGTCCACTAAGAATACACCTCCTATAGTATAGGAGTTGTTGTTGGTCTTCACTTGTTTTTAAAAAGTTTCTTTGCTCATTGTTAATGTATAACAAAATTTTATCGTTTTTCATCCCCAATCTTTATAGTATCAGAGCGCTTCTAAACTCCAACGAGTATTGATAAATCTGCTCATCTCTCTAAAAAAAATCCCATTCTTCTATCTATCATGATAACTCCAAGCACCTCTGTTATTGCTGTTGATAACACTACTTACCTGGTTCAATTTAATCAAGGCTCCCAACTACCTATAAAGCTTGGAGGTCCAAGCAATTTTGTTATTTGGAAGGATTAGGTTGAATCTCTCATGTTAGGCCACGACCTTCACGGTTATCTAGATGGAACCATGACAACGCCGTCCTTGAGAATGTTTCAGAGGTACCCAACCCTAAGTACAAAATCTGGTTTTGACAGGACCAGTTGATTCACAATGTCTTGATTGCATCAGTTGACCAAACCATCACCTCTACAATCACAAAACTTCCACCTCCCAGCAAGCCTGGGACGCACTGCATTACTTGTATGCCAACAAATAACATATACGAGTTTTCAGTCTTCTCAACTGCTTAGTCACAATTACAAAAAAATCTCATAGTATGACTGCATATTTACAAGAGATCAGGAATGTTGCAGATTAACTTGCAACTGTAGGAGCTCCCATTCCAGATGACGAACTTGCTGTAAAAATACTCCGTGGCTTAGGACCTGAGTATGGTTCAATTTCCGTTGCTATCCAAGCGCAAGATGCACCTATCTCGTATGAAGTCTTGTATAACAAGCTTCTCAACAGAGAGCTCTTTCTTCACCATAAAGATCCTCACCAAGCAGCACCATCCATAACTGCTGTTATGGCGCAAAGGTATTCCCCAACCAATTCTGCACCTCGCAACCATATGAGAGGCCAACCATGACATCCACAAAATTCTAGACAACAACCTGCATCACCCACCCAATCAAATTGACGTACACCTGCGCCTCCTCAACCACATCGTCCAGTTTGCCAGTTATGTGGTCGAATCAAGCATACTGCTTGGAAGCGAAAGCACAGTATGCTTCAATGCCTTGGATT